AATTAAACCTCACCACACCCACCTCGATGGTTCGTTCTTGAAGATCAGGTCCAAGAAGAGATCACAAGGAATTCAGTGTAGGCTGAAAAAAACATACAAACGAAGACTGGTTAAGTTTACACTTTAGTCAGGAATACTATTTTATTATCAATTAAGATAAATGAGTGAGATTTTTTTCTCATTGGGATACATTGCCACTCAAAAACAGAATACTCGCCAAGTTATAAGGGTCAAGTAATTAAAATAGTAGGTTTTCTCGGCCGAATTCGTCAAGAAAAACAACCTGTTTTAATGTCGCATTGTTCAATTTCTCTCGAATTGACTGATTCTTGAAATTAGCTTTCAATTTGTTTAAATGTCATTACTGATTAGGCGAAGTAAAAAAAAAAACATGTTTAGCGTCCCCGCCCGCTTCCTTTTTAGAGGCCGCCTCCTTTTTTTTTTTTTTTTTTTTTTTTAAATATGGTGCAATTGCGCAGAAGAGATGTTCGGTTCTGCATAGTTACATCATTTTGGTCTCATTTTCTGTTGCATCTTGCCCATAAGAAGCCAATTTGTCATTTCCTGAGTCCAAGTGGCGGCCATTTTGAAAAAAGCTGGTAACCTCTTGAAAAATACCCCGCCCGCGTTGTCTTGAAAAATGTGTCGGGCGGCCATTTTAAAAAGAAAAAGAAAAAAAAAAGGGCCTCCTCCTTCCTTTTTGTCAAAGAGGCAGGACGCTAAACATGTTTTTTTTTATTTTGCCTTATTGAAACTTTTTTTCCAATCATTTTAAAGGCATGTATCTATTTTTGATTCACTATAGGAACTCGGTCAAAAGTTCGTTGGCATTCTTAGCTTTTGTTGCACTTGTCCAGGCAAATTGACTTTTAACTCCAGTTTGCTATGAGTTTTAAAGCAGCAATGGAATTCTTCATTCAATATGAAATATTTTAGGGTTTCCCGCCCATTTTCACACTTTGCTTAATTCAATAATAAAACATTTGCATTCAAATTCGCATAAAACATGCAGACCTTTTCACACCCGGTTGAATTTAGTGCAAGCTTAAAATATTTTAGGGTTTTCTCCATTCACCCGTGAAAAGTAAGCAGCAAATTACGTGACTTGTGCATTGAATTTCTTGTGCATTGTGGTTCAGTCCCGCTCGGGAATTCACTTTGATGCATACGTTTACAAAAGTAGCACGGTTCAATGATATTTGGAAGTTGCATGAGCAAGATATTGTGTTATAGTGATACAACAGAGTATAAAATGACATGGCTTTTGACAAGTTTGGATTAAGGAATCTACAGCTATTTCAAAGATTGGAATGCCTGGGAAGGGAATATGAAAAAAAGCAGAACAGAACTGTATCAATGTAAAGTGTCAAAGTGATAGAAGGAAATACATTTAGAACACTCGCCGATAAAATACTATGTCAAAATACAGATTTTTATGTAAGGACAATTAAGTGACCAGTTTGTTAATTGTTGTAAACACTCTGTGGAAATAAAAAAAAATCGTATAGGCCTAGGCCCTAATATTTTTTGTAGCCAATACAATTGGCGAATTGCGAATTACAAATTAAATGGACCCCTTATTCCATTGCACTTTGTTGAAAATGAATACTTCCTCTTACAGATTCGCCTATACTCGGTGCAAGATCGAAAACCACGACAAAGTTGCCTACACGCTTTGGTGGGTGTAAATATTTTAAAAAAGAAATATCAAATGCGTTAACTGCGACCTTTTTTTCAATGTAATGAACAGTCTCTCTTATTGGACGAACAAGTTGCGAAATTGGACGCAAAAACCTATATGTTATGATTCCCGAAGTTGATAAACAATCACAAACGAATTACAACGTGATCAACGATCAAGAAAAAATTAGGACAACGGTTACGAACACAATTCCGATTTAAAAGATAAATAAAAGAAGACAAATTCCAAAGAATCTGATTACACAGCAACTAAATATTGGTGTGATCAATATTTGTTTTCATCTTAGTTCTCTTTTTTGACAACTGATGTACCTGCATAAAAAAATGTGAAGGAAATTTCAGCGTGTTTCCGCTATAAGTTCGAGGCACCCTGATGAGTTTAACGAGGAATTTGCAAAGACTAAAATGTCAGGCATAGTTCTACGGTGCGTGTTAGGGGAGGGAATATCACTCGAGCGATGTTTTCTGTTAAAAAATACATCTCCCACCAAAATCACTGCTCTGTTCTGATGATTGAGTGAGGAAAATGTCAAATAACAGACACTCACCTCGATGTAACGAAGGGAATCCTCAACACTCAGCAGATTGCGAGCTGGAAATAATACCAACGAAAATGAGTCATTGAAAATCCGCTGGGAGATATCTTGGGGGCTGTTGGGGGAGGCATCGCTGAATTTCACAAGTAAAACACCCCCAGATCAAAATCTCTGTCGGGCGAAATGTGATCTGGATTGATGATATATTTTTTAAGCGGAATGCGTCCTGCATGCAACGGCCCTGAACAGACCCACACACGAGCAACAATATTCACGTTTTCTTTGAAGGATTTAATACTTTCGAATCAAACGCAGTAACTACCAAAACAAATGCCCAGATTTTCTGAGAGAAATCTGTATGCAAAAATTATTTAAGGCAACGTAGGATCATTTGCAATTGCCCGGAAAAGTACATTTAATGACAGAAACCTTGCAATGCTGAGAGTGAAGATAAGACTGGTATCAAATACCCGGTGAAAGTATTTCGCCTGATATATCGTTTGAAAACTTTGCAGGTGTTTTTAAAATAAAAAAAAATAGTTAAGGTGTTATAAAGCACGGAATCAAGTAACGAGATCCAACAAAATAGTGCATACGTTTTCTCTGCTTTTTCTTAATGATAGTATCCACTGAGCTGAAACTTCAACAGGTTAGTTGCGAGCTTCTTAAGTTTTTAAGCCATTTTGTTGCTTCTCACGAAATAAAAATGCATCAAAAGCAAATGATCCTATGTTTTTCATTGCTTGCATTTAAAATGGTTGGAATCACAATGAGCATACACTTTCTGCATTATCAAGGAAAATCGATCTCATACCAAGGAAGTATAGCGGAAATATTACAGGTGGACACCGCAGTCAAGTTACAGTCATTACATCAAGATTTATTTTCCGGATCGGAAATCAGCGCACCGGTTTGGCTATTAGCATCAGCCACCATCTGTTTGTTATCTGAATAATGTCCCATATTTTTTTTCATTATCTCAAAAAAAAGTTGGTTAAAGTGGTTAGAAATTGCCTCAGATCGCACCACAGAGCAATAATAATCCAAAAAAAAAAAAAAACCAACATTCGGGACCCTTGAACCCCCCAGCAAACAATTTTACGTTTTCTGAACGTTTTTTGAACGTGCCTCATTCGTTTTGAGAACGTTTTGAATAAACGTTTTAAAAACGGCCATTTGTGGACACTTTTGGACGTTTTAAAAACGTTTTTTTAAGACGTTCTTAGAACGTTTTTGAACGTACAAAACGTATTTAAAACTTGAAACTAGTTACTAAAGACGTCAAAATTACCTACATAAAACGTTTTGTACGTTCCAACAACCAACTGACGTGACATATACGTTCTAAGAACGTTTGTGGAACGTACAAAACGTATTAAAAACGTACTACTAGTTATTAAAGACGTACGAGGACCTACATAAAACGTTTTGGACGTTCAAACAACCAACCGACGTGACATATACGTTCTAAGAACGTTTGTGGAACGTACAAAACGTTTTAAATAGGTACTACGAGTTATAAAAGACGCAACGAGGACCTACATAAAACGTTTTGGACGTTCAAACAACCCGCCGACGTGCCATAAACGTTGTAAGAACGTTTCTGGAACGTACAAAACCTATTGAAAACTTACTACTAGTCAATAAAAACGTAGAAGGACCTACATAAAACGTTTTCGACGTTCAACCAACCGACGTGCCATGAACGTTTTATTAACGGTTTTTTTTATTACCAAAACCTCAGAATAAACTTTCTTTAATCACGTTTTAAATTAATTATTGTTCCCCTTGGTAGCACAAAAAGCCTTTATCATGGACTGATATATTTCTTTTCAGTGAGTGTGCAGGAGTTATATTGGATTTTTTTTTGCAGCATTTAAATTTTTCATTTTTACAACTACACTCTATCCAAAGAAATCTATCCCAAAAAAAACAAATCTGCCTTCCACAATTTCCAAAACTATTGTGAAACGCAGTTTCGATACTTAAAATAAGCGAAATAAAGCACACAAGACGAGGACATTAGATGATACTGTGGTCCATCAGCTTTATTCTTGGTTCTCAACTTGAGGTTTCATGGAGTTATAGGACGTACCTGTAGATATTACAAAGCAGTAGTTTAGCAAATTATTACTTTTTAAGATGTTAATGTGATGTACATGTAATACAAGAACCATTGAACTCAGAAATGCTCTCATTGAACACATCTGCGAGAAAAGTTCGCTCAATGGCTTAATGTGGAAAACAAAAATTAATAATATACAGTATCCCAAGTTTGAGCATTTCTTTGTTTGAAAACAGAGCTGTAACATTCAAGTTTTTCTGCCTGAAATGTCATCACACTTTTATCTCATGAAAAGAATATATATTTTAATACAAATTTTACCTAAATACACTTGAAAATAGCAAAATGTAAATTGGAAAAAGTTTTTAAAATGATACCGAAAAGGTATCCATGAGCAGGAATGAATGTGCTTGACTGGTATTAAATAGAACAACAACTGGAATGCTTGAAAAATCTTTTAAAAAAATTGACGTCAGGGAAATGTAAGGTCAAGAAACCAGTCTAGCTCACTGGTATCCGCTCATAGGTGTGTTATCAATTGCAAATTAAATTCAGCCAAACTATATGGTAAATTGTGGCAGTATAAAAAAAAATGGATTGACGGTCGGCCGACCAGCATTGGAAATTTATACACAAATAGCACTTTTCTTTAAAAAAAAAAGTCTGCACACCAGGTGCCATGATTGTACAGAATGCTGTTCGTTAACATTCCAGTAAGGTATTTTTGTTTATAACATGCTTTTGTATTTTATGTTTGCATATGATGTATATTCCATTTGAACATGCTGTTTAATACCCGTTGGTCATCCTTGTTGTTGTTGTTGTAGTGTCGCTACTGATCATCCTGATCTCCGTTCTTGTCCTCAGATGGATCCTCAGATGGACCTGCTACATCATTTCCAGGTTTCTGCTGTGCAAACGAATCAACAAATACAAAAAGTAAAACAATTTCAAAACAAAAAGGTTCGAGGGTTCCTTCTACAAATCACTCCACGGAACAAGATAAAAACACTGAATTTACAGCCAAACTGCACTAATTACTTGTTTCTTACATGTTCACTTAGGCTTAAAACACACTGTCCAATTGTTGATCATTTTTTAAATGTTGATTGCGAAGTGAATTTTGCTTAGGTAAGGTTAGCAGAAACTGATGCTTGTTTACAAAGGTTCCCAGCGGAAACAAAACATTGGAAGCTCATATGTCATTAAAAACAGGTTACGAATTCTTTAAGCATCAAATTGGAATTTGTAACATGCCACAAATGTATACCAAAAGATAATTTCCACTCAGAACTATAATCCCTACTAACTTATTAAATTGAAAAGCATTAGCGAGCTGATAATTCTTTGTAACATGTCAAACCACATGTACAAACACCGTTTTCATGTAAGTTTGTTACTCATTCTTCTTCATACAGCACATCCATATACAAAGAAATGGAATAACAAAGGAAAACTTAAAAGAAAGCTCATTGAAAAAAACCTCAAGTTTGCAGACATCAACTTACATGTACTTTGTAATTCTTTCCGCCTGGAAGGTTTGGAGTTCTTTTCAGATATTCTCCGAGCGCTTTCTCAATCTCGACCTCCTTAGAGTTTGGGTGATTCCTCATGCATGCCTCTGGGGTAAAAACAAATAAAGGGTCCAATGGGTAATGAACTCAGCATTTGACAGTAGGTGTATTTTCTGCTCCGTTTACATCTGATGCATTACCATAGATTACAATGAAATGATAATTGGACTACCACTTGCAAATATCTAATTTTAGTTGCAGTAAAAAGCAGAAATATAACTTCAGGGGCAGGTTTAACATTTTTCAGTCTTTCCAACATAACCATAATATTTCATATCAGATTCCGTGAAATTGCAGGTTACAGAGATTCCAAATAAACAGGAAACCTCATTGCCAATCACCATTTTTACCGAGCCGTATACTTACTCATTATCACTAGGAAAAAAGAACCATCCTTCAGACTCAGTTTTCCTTTGCGTCCTAGAAGACTGAACGACGACCAGAGTTGGTTAGTCCCTATCTTTCGAAGAACTCGACGCACAGACTGGTTGACGTCGTGTCCCCCCAATAGGCTCAAGTAGCGTATCTGCAAGATGAAACACAAATGTGTTGTTACATCCTGTCCAGGATACTGTAATTTTATTGGTCTACAACAGTCCATGAAACAAATGTACTTTCACAAGCCCTTTATTTCAGCTACCTCATGTACAGAGCCTGAATATGCAACAGTCATTGTGTACATGCATCATGCATACTTTTATTAAACAAACACTTGCACCACTGTTGACTGCTTGATGTACATGATTGGTAATTCGGGTTTTAAAACCTTCAAGGTCACGTAGTGTAGCCTTGGGTGCCCAACAAAAAATACTGTGTTGCATTTTAGCCATGTTTTTTTTTATCTGTCTGGCAAGAATAACAATAACTGGTGGATAATATGCAGAAGTATGATGTGAAACCAATAATCATGGCTGCTTGATACTGATGTTCACATAATACTTACTATTTAATGGGGTGTTGTAATTCTAACGTCATGGTAAATACATTATCAGTTTTTGCCATTTTTCTTTGCACTTTTGTTACAGTGAGCAGCCATAATTATTGGTTTCGCATCATACTTCTGCATATTATCCACCAGTTGAAGCAAACATATGAAATGCCAACTGAGAAAAAACACTCAAAGACAGTAACCACATTTTCAGAATAGCATTACTCGTGCTAAGTGTTGCTGTGGAGAACTGATAACCTGCCAAATCAAAATGAACTTACCATTTTCTTTCTAAACTGATCGTCCTTCAGTTTAGCCTCAATAGCCTGGTATTCTTCTTGGTTGTCCATTGGGCGGTCGAATGGTTCAACATCGCCATCGGGTATCCCTGATTCTTGCGTCGACTGTTTTTGGGCCATTAACGTTCGCAGCAGGCTCATCTGCTCTTCTTGGCATGCCTGCAACTTGTCCAGCCTGAGCAGAACGTTCACTTGAAAGCTACCTGTAGAACAACATTAATCACACAATATTATTACAACTACAACAGCAACTACTCTACACAGAAACAATACTTGTAAACATCATTGCAAAGATCAAACAAATGAACAGATGGCGATAGATGTGATTTAAATGTCTTTCTTTTTAGCATATCTAAATGCCGAAATAGTTGCGTCCCTCCTTCATAGATAATATATCTGTCCACAGCTTCAATCATGGGTATGGTACACAGGACACCCTGCACTGTGATTTAAAATGCCAAAAATAGCAATCATGGCTAGATTTAGGAGACGAATTTGCTAAGTGTACATTAAATGATGTACCCATTATTGAAGCTGTACATGTTTTAATATTTTCTGATAACTAAGTTACTTTCTGAGGTAGCTCCTCTTCTCCCACTTGATGTGGAAGGCGATTCCTGGTGAGAGGTAACCGTTGTTGAAGCCTGGTGGTTGCGGGGGGTTAGGACTGCAGATTGGCCAAAGGTTGTTGAGGCTCGTGGACTGTGGTTACTGGAGTTTGATGAAGTCTTGGAGCCATACAAGGGCGATTGCACCACTCTTGGAGCTTGTGGCATTGGAATATTCTTTCCAGTGTCAGTCTTTTTCTTCCTTACTTGCCTGCAAACGACTTGTCGTTCCAAGTCACTATCTGGAAAAAAATATATATGTACATCTCTTTAAGAATAAACGGACTGGACTTTTTTTTCTCCTGCAGTGTGACTAAATTGCAAACAAGTAAAAAAAATTGAAAAAACCCATCAAAACATGTAAATTAAGTGGTTGTTCAGTTTCCGTCTACTTAACTGCAATCCTTGATCGGCTGATCATTCCTTTAAACATGTTTTCCCATGCTTTTCAACTTTTTCACCAAAAAATCACTGTGAATTGCAGCAATGAACTAGCATTTACATTCAGCATGTGAAATTCCAATTTGTCAATCGGGTAAATTTGTAATAGGTAAAGATCATACAATATGAGATATATTCAGCCGACGTCATATTTTATGTTTAAAAGAAAAATCAATATGAATTTACATGTACTGGCCATAGATCTCCTTCCATATCATGAATCACCAAAGTATTATTTTTTTTTCATTTAATGTCATTAATTTTCGTACCATCAGCGCCAACATCACTGCTTGATGATGCCAGTCTGGCTGGCCGACGTTTCCTCCGTGGTCCTTCATCATCACTTTCGACATTGGATGTATCCTCTGCCCTCCGAGCAAATATTTTTGCTTTTTCATAGTCACCTGAGTTTCAAAACAGACATGTAGGTGAACTTTATCAGAAATGCAATAATGGTGTCGTATCTTGAACTTCAAAACGCCAAGTACATGTACAACATCAGTGTGTACATCATACCAGTGTTTGAATTGAAGTTTATTTGCTGAACACCACACTGACATTATACACAGAAATAGGGTGTTTAGAGGTCGTTTCAAAAAAGAACAGGAAACTATGCATGACAGTGATAATCAAGTGGATAATTTATGCAGAATGCTAAATGTAGGATATTTGTTCTAAGACATCCAGTCATACATATTTTCACAAAGGTTGAAGCTGTGTTTAATAAGTAGCCTATGGAAATTTTATTTGAACATTCACATCTTTAATTACCCGTGTTTTGTTTTGAATTCATATTTCTGGATGTTGAGAATGATGCCCTATTTCTAAAATGTAGACGGCAAATAAATTAAAGGGTTACTTTGTCTAAAGAGGATCAGGAATAGGGCACTGTAAATCCAAAACAAAACAAAAGAAAAACAAAACTTACTGGTCTCTCTTAGCAATCTAATCTTGTATCTTCCCCAATTGTCAGCATCAGGAATTTCATGCTTCCTTGCCCTCTCGGCTGTTTTGTGGGCTGGCCAGTAGGAATACATAGCCTGGATGGGCATTAAAAGACATTACAAACAAATAAATTAGCTGCTTTGCAAATATGTAAATTGGGTGTATTACATTAGAGTAGCACAAATATATATTTTTTGTGGTGAAATCATTTTGGCTGTTTTATAATATAGGCCTAAGATAAATGTATAGGAAACGATGGACCATAATTCACCAATGTAAGAAATAAATGAAAAAGACTGTGTACATGCAAACTTTGGCAAGTCCATCTTGAGGGCAAATTTTTGAGCTCAACAAAATGTTATAAACAACTTGTCATTTTAAAGCTGAAGATGATCATGTTTTAAAAAGAAATTTAAAAATAAGCCATGAAGGACAACTGGTGATCATTTTTGGGTAAAAACAATACCACTTTTCATGGTCCCATACATGTAGCTTACTCTGCAAAATGATTGGAGTGAACTTGCCAATTATGGCATTTATAACCAACTAACAAACAAAGCCGCCCCTGAGTGGATGTATAACAGGTAGTTGTCATTGTTGTCAATATAATTTCCTTCAACATTATGCACAAGTGCTAAATTTCTGAAATACATGTATTTGAATTGTTTTAGAAATTTGGCCAAAAAAATTAGAGTTGGCATGTTTGCAGAAAAATGCAAGATGAGTGTCCTACATGTATATCCTCATAGCGTGTTGTTAAAAGTTCTTGTTATGAAACTTGCCTCGCCATCCTCTCCAATCCATGATCTTGAGACAACGGCAACTGCACTCTCCTCCTCGAAAATAACAACTGCATACTCGCCCATCTGAGGTAAGAAAGAAAAAAATTAACAAACACATCCATACACTTGAATTTACAAGGGCAGAGACGAGGAAAGGAAATGTTAACTTTTTTTTGGCAGTGAATCTACTCCTTGTGTCAGCAAACAATGAAATTTGGCCATTTTCTGGTTATATATAGGTTTTCTGGGATTTCTTTTTGATCGAGAATCATGATCCACATCAACACTATTATTGCTGTCAAATAAATACGACCGCATAGTACTTCACTGATTGGTGAGAAAAGGGTGTACATTAACCAAACCAAATTGAGCAATTTTTAAAGTAAAATTTACCAATAGTTCTAGCAGCAATGCAGCAAACTCATGAAGATGAAAGTATTTCTTTCAGCTTCAAATTTCAAAGCTTTAGTCTGCAGCCTTTGGCGTGGGATCATCTGCATGCGGGTGTTTTGTTTGTTAACTCTGTGCACACCTATTAGTTTTGAGTCACAAGGTGAAGTGAATGCATTGCCACTGTTTGTATACACCCTGCACAAGAACAATGGATCGCCATCATCATCCTTTTCATTGGTTTCCTGTTGCACCTCGCAACATGAAGACGCGCTGAGCACATAGCAGTTGTTGGGCTTCTTAGTTGATACAACTGGAGTTTTTGGCATAGTGGGTGCTTCTCTGTATCTTTCACTCTCATCCAGTCGTTTGGCAATTTGCACAATGGGTCGTTTCCCTGATCTCGCCAATTTCTTCATATACTGAAGATAATTTTCAAAGGGGAATGCAGCACAGACATTTAAGTCACCAAATTCACGTGCCTCATCTGCCAAGTGTACCATGCTGTGGACATTGTATACAAGAAATTCTTGACCGTATAGAGCACGTCCCTGATCATTGAAAAACACCATCAACTGCTCAGCATATGCACTGTATACTAAGGACAACTTTGGATTAACTAGAATGCATGTTGCAACACTCAATGCCATAAAATGACTATACAACTCAGGCCTCAAGATTCCTTTCAGGCAAATTTTGCCTGTGTAGAGGAGGAATTGTCTTAACTCGGTGGCTTTCCACCTTTCTATCTCAGAAAGATGACGAGGCTTCCGCTGAAATTCACGAGTGACAGAATTTCCTAGAGCAAGAAGTTTCTTACTCGCACTTTCCACCTGTGCAGATCCCAGTCGGAAGTTAAGCAGCCTGCCTTTTCCTCGCTTCCAAACGAGAATCAGTTTCCTCATCACTCCAAGACAACTTTGATGCATATAGTCTATTGGAAAGCTCTTAATCATGTCAATTGGCAGTTCACAAAATGGTGAATCTCTATTGTGATGCTCTGGGTTTGCTTCGGTCCGGAAGGATTCATCAGTTCTTTTTCGCAAATTGATCGTCTCTGGGTACGTCATTCTCCCCTTCCACTCTCCCTTTTGGTCACATTTGTCACAACCGTAGTACCCAGAATACAACTTCGTTCCCTTTACCATAGCTCTTGCAGGTGCATCGCAAATGATGCATTTCAGATGCACTGGAATAATTTCTCCATCCACTGAAAGGCCATTTGCTAAAACATTTTCAAAATCGTTCACAGTGTCACGAAGAAACTCAAGATCTTGAGGTTTACTAGAACCATACGTCAATGCCACTTGGAACACGTAAACAGGAGATGCATTACTTATACCACATAGGATTGGCCACAAGCTTTTAGCAGTATCTTTATGCAGAGGAATTCCATCGATATTTAGCGTAACTTCGATCGATTTGGCATCATCTGCTAAGTTTGTCTTACATGTCCGGTAGGCTTTAGTTAGTTGCTCATGTAAACCAAGATACATGTAATCCATTCCCGACACCTTATCAGTCTGGACACTCCTGGCTGTTTGCAGCAATGTACGAGCTGATGCTGGCAACTCTGGATGACCATGCTTCTGCAGAATTTTCAAAAGACTATCCACAGCGTTATGTGTAATCAGATGGTCATTAACCCACTTTGCCAATTTGCTTCTGAAAGAAGTATCTGATTCTTCATCAGAATAATCTGACCTGTCTTCAAGCTCGGACTCAGATGTAACTGGAAGGTCTGAATTAATGTCTCCCCAGTCATCAGAGTCACTGTCATCATGTGATTCAGATTGTGCCATTTCCCAGTTTGCTTCACCAAAAGCAGCACCATCGACTTCTACATGCATGGCAGCTTCCTCATCGCTCTCACTACTACTACAAATATCGTCGCGCACTCTCCCCAATTCACGATATGCCCTCATCCACCTTTTCTTGTAATCTTTGCGATCCGAGGCTGACAATGATGCACACATTTTGCTAACTGACCTGAAAACAGACAAATTAAAATAAGTACTTGGGCATAGAAGTAGAAAGGGACAAATGAAAATAAATTATATGTTGAGAATTGCAGGACTTCGCTAATTACCTGGAAAACAAACTTGTCAAGAGTGATAAGGCCCCCCCCCCCCCAAAATAAAATGTTTCCGCTCGGGTGTTCTTTTTTTGCTATTTTCTGCTGATCGATTTGGGTAGTTCAATTATGTGCGATTTCCTATGTGAATCTCAGCCTGAACTACATGTACATGTACATGAATATCCATTGCACTACGAAAGCTATAAAACATGTGTTTTGTCCTGTAAAACCACACTGCACACTGCACACTGCAATTGCAAATGGTCCTTGCAAATAAGGCAGCCACTGCATGTATTGGTCACCGCATTTCCACCATGCTTACTGTGCGCAGCGCGGCGGGAACCAGTCATAGCTGCCTTGATTTGAGCATGCAATATTACGCACGCCTATATCGATACGTTTTCATCACACGGCAACAACAAAGTTTCTTGCACTATGCACTGCATTCACCATGAGTGCAAAATCACTGCAATCACTTGAAGGTTAAATGAACTACCACCTGTTGGCTACTCTACTGCCACTGCTGCTGAGTTTTCGGCGGCGAAATCTCTCGCAATTTGTGCTTGAGGACCATCCAAATCTTTCCATTTGATGACGTACTCTAGGAAGTGTGTCCATGTTTTACCAGAGAACGCCGTCATTCTGCACTTTTTGGACGGGGAAATGCACATGAAAAACGAAATTTCATGTGTATTTTCGTCGCTCGAAGACGAAACGTCTTCCTCACAGGAAGTCGCCATGTTGTTTCGACGCGCTATACCGGACCACTCCACTACCGCGATTGTGATTGGCCAATCGACGATGATCAATAGAATATGTCTTCTGATTGGCTAATGTGCGTTCGAGGCTGAGTGGTATATTTTAAACAAATACTAATTAATGTAACCAAATCTCGCTGGTAAATAGTAACCGAACGTTTCTTGGATTTTTTCCTGCAAAACCATACCAAAATAATGCCCACCCCATTTGTAGGCCAGGTAGAAGAGAGAAATGTGGCCATGGCCTAGGCTCAAATGCTAGCCACGGTCCGTGTGCTAGCATATGGCAGTAAAAGACCGTTCTCTGCCATTTATTCACCGATTTCCACAGTTCAAAATATAAAACAAGTCATCATTTCGGGTACAATACATCATCATGATGATACTTTTAGATTGAATTTAGCAACGAAATAATATGCTTGAAATCTCTCTGGCAGAGCTAGTGACCTTCGCTCCTTTATTAATTTATGGAACCAGTTATAAGCGCGGTAAAATCCCCCAGGGCAAACTTTCCAAAATGGTGTCCCAACCCGTTGGTCTTAAGAGGAATGTTAATTCACCCACCACATGTACATGTACATGTAGTTGTAAATGTGGCCTTGACAACCTGAATTTTCTATTATTTTTAAAGAACAGTCGAAAGTAAATATTGTTGACAATAATTAAGGCAAGTTTTTATCCTTTTTTGCCGTATTTGTATTGGTTTCGTTGTGCAATAGCAAAAGTTTAGGATGAGATTCGCATAAAAATTGAGTACCCAAATCAATCAACACAAATGAAATCAATCCAAATTAACTTGTGACAAGTCTTAAACCCACTGACTATTTTTAGATACATAAAAACTATCAGGGTGCATACCTGCAAATAAACTCCCATAGACACTAGTGCTAAATGCCCATACTTCAAAATTCTTTTAAAAATACTCAAAACTCTCACAGGTATTCAAGCTGCACAGAAAAATGATGATCAATGTGTCATCTTTCATTTTCTTTCACTTTCGAGCCCAATAGCATCCAAAATGCTCAGAATTGGAAGCCCCAAGTCCGGGCCAGAGGTTCACTACCATATCTCTTCAATTCCCCAATTTTACGGCGCTCAGAACTCTCTAATATAGCCTATATTTTGAGGGTATAACTTTTATTCATGAGCTTGGCGGATCGATTTACCGGTATGCACCCATCATTGAACTTTCAGTAAAGCTTGAAAAACATTAAACATTTGCCAAGCATGAAAAAAAAATCATTCTCAACAGCTAGCTACACATTGAGACCAGCTCCATGCTGGTACGTGGCTAGTGACAGGATGTGGGACTGTGCCTCGCATTCTTGGGCAAACCCCACA